GAATATGTAATTTTATGTGAATGTGATGTATGGTTTTAGAGTTATGAAAGTTGGGTAGAAAGTATGTTTTAACTGTATGTGTAATTGAGTTTCCTCTCAGGATAAGGGGAGGGAATATGTGGGATGTAACTGTGATGTGATTGGTTGTTTTATACCTCCCTGTGGGCGGTCCTGTATTTGCAAGACTGTAATAAAAACCAGGCTGGGTGTGCCAGCACCTCAGACCACTGCTTGACCCTCAACACGGAGCCTTGTCTCGTTCTTGGGGGATTCACTGTATGCTGTTAGAGACTGATTGCCAGGAGTGTAAGCTGATTGTCTGCTTTTCCTGTTCGTCTGCTAGCAGCTATTTGGGAGGTTCCAGTTCGGGAGTTGGAGTGCTATTTTGTATCCAGTTAGGGAGTGTGGTGTTCTGCAGTAGCTGTGCCTGTATCTCTGGAAAGGGGGCCGATCGCCTAAACGGTTTTTACCCCTTGTGTGCAAAACGGTCCGTTACACAACATAAATGAGTGCATGTGACAATATGGCCCTGGCATCTCTAGCACCAGAGGTGTACCAGTGTAGGCCTGCAGACTACAGAGTCTTTGGGTATCTTTGCCTAACATGCACTAACTGTTCAACTAAGCAGCTAGGTTACATTTGTTTGGTAGCGGACTCACCATCAACCCAGGATACACTCCAGTTGTATATTCCGGCTGTTACCGAGTGTGACAGACCCATCTGTATGGACTAAAAGCACTGTGTTTGTCTGTTCTGCCGTTTGCATGAATTCCCCCATTTGTATGCTTTGTTTAAGGGAATGTCTTTTTTTGTCGAACGGAACTACCGAACGGACGGCCACCCAGAAGAGAAGTGTGCTGCTGGTTAACCTATTGATCCCAATTAGAACGTTGCGGTTAACCACAGACACTTCTCAATTAAAACCGAATACCGGGTGGTCGTTGTTCGTATGTCGACCACGAGGCGGCGGCCATTTTAACCATGCGAAAGACCAGCGGTGTTCGACGGTTATTTCATGGAACTGAAAACGGACACTTTTTCAACCGAACACCGCTGAAGCCGTCGACCTCCCCTTCTCAATCGACAAAAGCATACGAATG